AAAAAATAAATATATGTGTTATTTTGTTGTTATCTGTAAATACTATTTAAATGAAATAAATACTGGTAGTTTTACTTGCTATATAAACGGTCAATCAAATTCTTTAGATCTGTACAAATGGCCTTTTCCTATGGTTATTGTATTATTACATGCAACGATAGCCATGGTAAAAAATGAAATAAAAAATGTCATATGGACGTTGTACGTAATAACAATATTGTTTTATTTTTCTAAGCGTGTCTTTGACGGGTGACAAGGAACGATATAAAAAAATATCACTAACGGCCGCACAGTTCTCTCAGGCGTGCACCACAAGGGATATTATGTTTTATCCGGTCGTCTCTTAAGAGGCATAGGAAAAAATATGATCAATTCAAGAATATTATCGCTTTTGTTCTGTCAAATGTATACTCTGGAGAGCTTGTATAAGCATATTGATTTTAAAACGTCAAGTTTAATCAACGCTGATCTCATCTGTATATCAGAATAGTAATTATTTCTCTGTCAAAAAGTTTTTCTCTTGATAGCCGTTTGCTAATTTCGTGCAATACATTTATTTATTAATTATTGTAATTTTATGATACGATAATATTTATGTTAACTAATAAGTTCAACGCGTTTAAAGTTAATTATATTTATTATACGAATTATGTTAGCATATTATATATTGCGAATAATTGTTCTAATTTTTTTTTATGCTCAAAGTAGTACAAAATTAATGTGTGGCGAATTTTGGCAGTGTTTCAAAGGTGATAGTTGATATGTAAAATCGTATTAAACGAATAATACGTCGAACCAATCGCGTTAATATTAATGGTGGTGAGTAATTATATATATATTTTTTACCAGCTCACTGGTTATCACGTTGATTTCAAGCGTTACATAACACTTAGCGTAAGTAGTAATTTCTCATGTTCGATGTATACCATTTTTTACTTTTATCGTTTAAACGATAAAAAACTGACGGTGTTCATAAAATGATTTCTGATGTAGTCGAATGATGTCATAATATTTTCATTGCACCTTGGACTAAATGGTGAATGGCCTCTGGGTAGAAGGGTTATAGTATCCATAAGTTGCCTGCCGTCATTTTATTAGATTTTAAAGAAATCGTGTTATTCCTTTCTGAATAATTTATTTTCCAAATGAAATGCACTCACTATACATTTAGGTCAATTTAAATTTGTTATACTAATAACGCGTACTAGTAGTATGTAGAGCTGTGGTATAAAAAAATTATTATTTTTTTTTTATTTGAAGTCAAAATTAGTTTTGATTATAACATAGCTCCTTCGGTATATTTGATTTTTAGCTTTTATAATTATTGTTATTATGATGACTAATAAAATAATTAAGGAAATAAAAAAATTAATTTTACAATTAAATGAACACATAAAACCATTATTAACACAAGCGTAGATTTAAATAGTTTATATAAATATTTATATGTATTATTTCATTTTTACGAGTTAAAACAAAAGGAATAAATTTCCCTGATTTGTATTTAACAAAATTTCAGATCATCTATAAAAAAATGCCAGCACAACTATTTACAATGTTTGACTGGATTTCACTGGCATTTAATGTCCTTAAAGTTTATTTTCTTGCTGTGTATACAAACATCATAAACAGTCTGATGTATATGTATTATTACAACATGAGTAGAATTGGCCATTTTTCCCAGGGGGAATTACACACCGTCGTAAACCACGGATTTTCATTACAAACGATGTGTACGAGAAAAACAACAACGACATGGCGAGATTATGAAAAAAGTAAACAAATGCGATACATTTTCAGCATATTACCGAGAACGTGTTTTTTTTACGCTTTTACTCGTCGATTGGTTCATTGTCATATTGACCTAAGTTAGTGACTTGATGCCTATACAGTAATTTTTCTAAAACAAACACACTGTAGTACAGAAAACCGCATGGAAATTGTTTCATTATTTTAGAATTTTAGTCGGTTCTCTCTTGTTTACACAATTATACGTGGCCGTCAAGTCAAAATTACCGGACCGTATACTTACAATGTTTGTTCAACGTCGTCGAATATCATTTATTTTTAAGCAAAAATCAATAATCTGCCAATCATTTGTTAATCATCATTTATTTTCTTGACTACACTAAAAAATATTGACAACGTCAGAATTGTAAAGTCCTTGTTAAGTTAATTTGATTTATCTCCTGTTATTGCTACTGAATAAAGTACAAACAACTTGTAAAACAACTTTCGACGTTTCTAGTGTTGTACGCTTTTGTAGAAAAATCAACAAATTCAACCAATCGGATTTGACGTGAGACTCGTGGTTTTGTCAAACGTCAAGGAGATGGCTATAATTTACATGTAAATTGAGAAATATTCACTGTCGGTTTTGTTCATTCTTCTACATCTCTCCAGAAATTGCTTTATTATTTCAAATTCGAAATTCAATGTTTTCAATAAAAGTAGTGCGTGCGTTATGCTAAATTTAATTTTACTTTCTTTGTCGACGAAAATTCACCAACTATTGTGTGAACAATTCCATAGCACAAAAAAAAACATTCGACAATTATCAAATATTCATTATTTAATATTACAACATTTATTTACCGCGGAAAATTAAAAAGTAGCTCAACAATAATTCGATTTTATATTTATGTTATTCATCTTGTTAGTCGACCCGACACGAATATAAATTTCAATTATTTTTATCGTTTTGGTTAGCGGCAAACCGGAATGAGCTGATTACATGAAATTGGGAATAGAGACCGAAAAAAAGGAGTCATTGGACTGTGTACACCAAACGGTTTATTTCCGTTGGAGCCTATCAGCACCAAAGGCGGCTGTGTTATAACACATCCACCACCGTTGGTTTTGATGGTTGGATATAAAAAATATAAGTTATAACGGTCATGTTCAATTAGTGGCAAATTAAATAATTACTTGTTGTACGCTTGCTGTATCGCGGTAAAAATAAATAACCGATATATTTAATTGATTGTGGATGAAATATAGAAATAAAATAATAAATCATATACACATAGTAGTAAAACCTCAACAGAAAATTGTCGATATTGTTTATTAGAGCTCTGTAGTTCTTTCTTAGGTCTCTCTCTATGAACAAATTTAAAATCGATTTACTTATGTTTGATATCGAACATTATTAATTTATATCGACGAAAAACTATCATACGGCGAATTTGGTTAACGATAATTAAAAAAATAAAATGTATTGTCACAGATTTATAATGAAAGTGCATTTTAGTCATGACGCCGCAACAATATTAATTACCTCTTAAGATGGTGTTTAATTAAATTATAGCACCGTTTGAACAGTATTACATTTACCACGGCACCATTAAATTAGTTTATGTCGATCATAAAACTATTTCCGCGGAAAACATTTCATAAAATTTGGGTAGCCAGGAAATATAATCGGTATTATGTCCGTTAATCCAAGCTCAGTATAATGAATACGAAACGGCTTTTTTTTATCCACAACAGTTTCTAGAAACCGTTGTGTACTTCACCACCACCTTCTGTGTTGACAAAAAAGTTCTATTATTATTGGTTATTCACTGTACGTTTAAACCAACTAATTCAATTTACTTTTTGTTTTATTTTTAAGTATGTACAGTTTCTTCGTCTAATATTTCCGTTAAGGTTCGGTTAGTATTTTCCCCGTCGGCTAGTGTATTACCATGTTATGTTATTAGTAATAAATAGATTACCGGACAATACTTAGGGTCGTCGACACTACAGACAAATGCATATATATATATGTCAGAGAGAATACGGTCATCAATCTCGAACGACGACGTTCGGATATCCATTGGCCGACAATATTTTTCTAATTAAGCCATCGACAATGTATTCATTTTAAACGTAACTTTTCCTACTCGAATACAAAACAAAAACGACTGTTTCGTGTTTAACATTTTATGAACACACAACATATAAACTACATTACACAATAAAGCAATTTATAGTATTAATACTAAAAAAATCTATTAATTACTTTAATAATAAAAACTCAAGCTAATAATAATAGTTATTATCATACCATCAAATACTTTTGGATTTGTACCACCAGAGTGATACTATTTTAGTTGATGATAAATAATCATAAAATACTTTTGTATCATAGTTGTAGTATTTATATATATATATTTTAGTTTAACGTATATCCATGACAATAATTAAATTATCTAGTGCAACAACATGTGTAAATATATTTTTAAAAAGAAAAAAACGATGTATTCAACAATATTTGAAGAATAACAATCAATTTTACGCGTATAGACACATCAAATATTCGATTAGAATGAGTTTCGCAAGTTGTTCATTGCAACAAAACGTGAAATTTAGTTTACTTTCTTAGTAATAATTTGATTTGATAGTAATGAACTTATGATGTTACTGCACCGGACACTTCAATTACAAACTAACAAAACAAAATCATACTGGTAGTCTGTTGTTAAAGATTTTTATCGAGTCCGAATACAAAAGACTTGCAATTAAAAGTAGCAATCACGACAGTAAGTAATATTTTATTTCCGTTATGAAATCTGTTTTGTATTTCTCGCGTGCATAATTTTCACGGCACAACATCTCATAACTAATTGTTCCTTGTAAAAAACTACGCGATTTAATCGTGTACGCTCAGACGAATGTATAATATAAAGTTGTATACACATCGAGTCGAAACTACGGTTTTTATAACGCAATGATGTCGCATAAAACGGTAAAAAATACTGTCATCGACAGACTAGACTTGCACTAAAGAGTTTTCTAGGAACAGCCAACATTAAGTTCGATTAAAACAAGAAAACGCACGTTGTTTCGGTACAAATTTATTTTAGCGGAAAGTCCAACGGTTAAATCAGAATTATCTAAAAAAACGTGCATTGCGCCAAAACCAAATGGTCTTGTTACCGTTATTGTGCGGTTGACGTTCAATAAACGGTGCGCAGTATATGTGCAATATTAATAATTTTTATAGTGGAAAAACTTACAAACTCTGAGAGAGAAGTTTTGTGACGCCCAGCTTGGACATGGCATTGTTTTTGAATCCATCGAAAATCGAATTGGCGGGACTTTTGTTATTCATGGGTCGGTCCTTTATTTATCTAACCGTCGAATACAATTTACTGGATTATTTTTTTTATAACGCGTTCTCCTTTTGTTCTTATTGGATGGACCGATAAAAAAAATGTGTTAATTGTCTTACGAATCGGGGTACAGTCAATGTTGATATAATTCTCAATGCCGGCGTATTGTGGTGGTAGCTGTAACATTTACATTACAATGAACATTTTTTTTTTTTTTTGTTTAATTAAAAGCAATCAAAGAAGAAAGCAGAAATCAAAAGAAAAAAAAATATCGTGAGAAGTGTGTCGGCCAAAGAAGAGAGGGAAATAAATTGAAAACGACCACGCGAATCGTAACGCGATAATCGCAACCGGCGCACGATCGGAGAGGTGATTGACGTCGTGTACCAAAACAAAGACTGAGCGACGGCGGCAAACTACCAAACACGCTTTTTCTGTGTGCGGTTTTTCGGTTGTTTTCGAGGGGGCGCGGCATGTGGCGCTGTACCGACTCCCCCCGTCGAGGGCATCCCGAGTCACGCGCACATCTCGCCGACTAACTGGGTCATTCCTTGGCGCCCTTGCCCCTTGCCACTACTGTCGGTGCACTCCATTAACGGCCAGCAGCAGAGAGTGCGATCAGAACGGTAAGGGGAGGCGGCGGCAATTACGTTGTGCGATTTTTACGCGTTTCCCCTGTGCACTCCTCACACGAACCCGACCGACTCTTACGCGCATAATGACAAAGAGACTGTGTTGTGCGGAAAGGCGGATGGCAGAGGATAGTGCGATCACGTGTGAATGACGACGATACCCACCGATCATGTCACCGATTATATTACTTACCGACATTACAGATGGTATTCAATGTCTGCTACAAATTACATCAGCTTTTGTTTTTTTACTCGGTTATTAATTCCTCCATTGATGTAGCCGACGTTACTCGGCCTGTTAGTCCAAGTTCAATCGATTCAATGTGCGTTTTTTTTTATATTTATTTAATATTTATCGGTATAACAGCGGTGTATCAAACATGATTGAATTAACAAGGGTAAAATAATCAAGTGCTCTTAATATTTCTGATGAATCCATTGGCGTACTCGGTTTTCGATTTCACGTTGTTGTAATTATTTATTTCAAATTATAAGGTCAAATATGAACACGGTAATGTAGTTATTAGTAACAAAACCCAAAACACAGAAAATAATATGTTTAAGGAATATTGCGTAACCAAGTAAAAAATTTCATATTAACGAAATGTTTTTTTTATGTATTTACTTTCAATAGTTATCAATAAACTTTTTATCGATATTGAATTCTATGGCTACTTTTTAAAAATTCATATTGAAATTTAAGCAATTTTTTCTCAGTTTACACAAATTTTAATGTCAATTTAAGCTTTATAGTATATTTGTTCAACTATAACAATACAAATGTATTGAAAACTTTTAAATAAAAAAAAAAAACAATTTTTACAGAGAGCAAAACAATTTAAATATTACTATGGGGTCTTTTGCTATTTAATATTTTTGAAGAACAAAAAAACAAACATGAACGATAAAATTACGAGACACTATTTTCGTGGGATAACTGATAGCACCTCTTTTTACGTGTAACATCAATGATCTTAAAATCGCATTTTTGTGACAATCAGCTTTTCAATACAAATCAGAGCTAGACACCGAAATGACTTCATAGGTTATAATAGAGTTTTGGTTTTTATTTTTTAATAATTTTGGTTAATGACGGCTTTTGAAAAAATGTTAAAGTAATAAAAATGTTCGTGTTTTTTTTTTTTTAGTAAAATAAGGTTTCCCAGTAATTTATGAAATAAAATAAGCTTAATTAAGGCTATGTCAATATAAAAATATTTATTGACCTTTTTATCATCAATGTGAAGCTGAAAAATTATTACATGATATGTGTGTTTTTGTGCTTATCCCAAAAAATTCTCAACTCTCACTGTACTAGTTTTGCAGATCAATGCGTAATGATACTTTGTAATCCCATTGGACTGTTCTTAATTTCCTAAGCATTTAAAATTTTATATTTAATACCTAAAACTAAATAGATACTAATTAAAAAATATTAATAGTATCATTTGAAGTTTACAATTATTTTAGTAACTTATGTTTTTATATGTTAGAATGTATTAATCATAACTTAAGTAAGTGTTTACTTTATATAAGAAAACACTACATTTTTAGGAACATACTTAGCATAATTGGTAGGATGGAGTAATGAATATACCAAGACAAAATGGCTATTGATGAGTTCATAGAGTATGAAAGGATTATTTAAAGTTTTAAGAGGCTTCAAAGTTGGAGTTACAGAACGCGCTATAAGAAGTGTACCATTACATGTTTTAAATGCTAGTTTTTTGTTAAAAATAACTATAGTAGTCTTAGCCGTTATTAAACAATTTTATTGAAACGTCTTAACATTACTGAGTTAAAAGACCATACAAGGAAAAAACTAACAAATACCGATATGTATGAGTTACACATCAATATGAACTAATTAGAGTATTTTTGTTAAAAGACACTCTAGTTCATCCAGTGAGATTTGTATAAAAATCATTTGATAAAAAATTTCATATCCAATTTTCCTTATTTAAAAACCAGCAGTTGATTTATTACTACAACATTAATATTTGTAATTTTTCAATATTTTATTGAATTCAAATGAACTATTCAAACATTTTGCAAATGTTACATAGTTAGTATCAAGAAAGATGATTATTTATGTAACTGTCTCTCGATCGAAAATAACGATAATAGATTAAAATATTACCAAATACGTTAACTACTTTATACATTTCAAGCGTTCCCTTTTTTTATAGCTGAACAACATCAAAGCACTGCAAGCTTTATAACTGGTTGTGTACTTACTGAATACTCTATATGTATAGGGTGTTCAGTAAATAAAGAAAAGTGTTTTTAGTGTTCTTATTGTTCATATCAATTGACCTGTTTCCTTACTTACTGAACATCTTGTACACTGAATGTTAGATTGGATTCTGCTAAATAGTACTCATCTTCACTAATCACAAGTATTTACAGTTGATAATACAATAATATAATACAATTTATTATTATACATAGATGCATTAATTAGTTTAACAATTGCAATACTTGATCATAATTTATCATTTAATCATTGAACTTTTTAATAAAAACAGCACTAACAAATATGGTATCTAAAAATATTAAATATTATTATAATTTAAATATTTTTAATCTTAAAATGTATTCAGAAAAAATTTTAAGTTGACGTATGCAAGTTATGTATTACATTAAAAAAACATCTAACAATAAAATTGTATTTTTTTTTTTTTCAAAATGAAATGTATTAATAAAATAATGAAAATTATATATATTTGGTAAAGAAATAATTACAATAAACCACCCGAGATTCGTATTTAAAATTTTTTAATAGAGTTAGATATATGCTAAAAGTATTTCGTTTTAGATTTATGAAAAGTTTTAATAAATAAAGTAATGTTGATTTTGCACAAAACTCATCAAATATCAATTGATGAATTTTGTCAATCCGTTTAATCAATAAAAACAGACTTAAGATTATTATGTACTATAGTTAACTAATAAATGTAAATATTAGAGTTAAATATTCTATTCTCTAAACTTTTATTCAAGTTTATTTTAGTTTTGTGAATATAGTCAGTAGATATACGATTATAATTGATGACTTTTAAACCATTATATTTAATGATACGAATTTTTTATATCTATGCAGGAATTATAGTGTGGCACAGAATATCTAATCAAAAAATAATCAGACTCACCTCGAGTCTTCATTTTGAAATTTTTAAAAAAACTAAGTCGTCATACGCTTTTTTATAAGAAAATCATCTAGTTATAATAATATGATATTTTTAGATAAATATTGTAATAAATGAATATATGAGTTACCATTTAAAAATTTTAATGAATATCTTTTGAAGGTATAAGAAGAAGACGCATAACTTAATTTTTATCTTGAATTAGTAGTAAATACAGTTTCATAAGTTTTTGAAAAGAAAAATTATATTATTTTGTATTTTTAGAGACAATGCTTGATTTATAGTTAATAAATAACCCTGTATTATATTTCAATATTGAACACTTTTTATAAGTTTTGTAGTTAATTTAAGCATAAAACTCAACAACTTTAATTAATTTTGTAACCTATTTATTAAATTTTTATTTATTTTTGTATTAAACGTGTATAAATATTTATTTTTACATTGTAAAATTTTACTGAACAATTTATATTTAAATAATCATTTATTTATGATACTACTACAGCTACAAATATTATTATTACAAATTCAGTTAAAAATTTATAGTCTTAATATTTTTTAAATTATTACGTACGTACAAATATATTAGACATATACAATTGTGAAATTTCATTTAATATATTACTTTTTCAGATTAAATTCGCTTTATATGAATGAAAAACATATAGCTTATGTGGACACATGAATTTTTTTTCAACTTGATAAACAATTGTCTGTATTAAAAAAACAGCTTTGGTTTTTGTTGGGTGATCAGACAGACAGCTAAATAAAAATTAGCTTTAAGTCGTTTCAAGTGTGTAAAAAACATCTATTCAATACACAAATATTATGCCAAGCAGTTAACCAATTTCGAGGTAAGTATACAACGAAGTAAACTCATTCACAAAAACCATTTACTTCTAGGCCATTATAATGGCTAAAAAACGACTCGTACAACAATAATTTACAGAGAAAATTCTCCGCAACATAATTTTTATTTATAACATACAACAATAATATTATTTTAATGTTTTAATTGAAACTTGTTGCAGTAAATCACTTGGTTATTCCTAATGCACGATATATTTTAATTTAACGATATTTTCAAAACATATGAAGTGTAGGAAAACATTATTTTCTGCTATTCTTATGTACAGTTAAGATATTTGTATTGAGTTTTATAAATGCTATTGATCGATTTTCACAACATTTAGGACTTTAATCTCTAGCAAAAGGTCTAGTCAATAAATGTAAACAAAAATAATTTCTCAAACTTATTTTTGATTCTATTTAAATAGACATTCCATGTATTGGTTAATTTTGTTAATTATTATCAAAAAAAAAAAAATTAATACGTTTACGAATATGTATATATATATACATATATATGTATTGTTTACTTTTTAACATAATAACTTGTACGTAAAACTTAAACTTGTGTAGATAAAGTTTCATAATTGTGCATTAAAAAATTATAATTGATTTAAAAACGAGATAGTATAAAATTATAGTAATTTATATTCAGAATAAATATTTAGATGAAAAATAATACAGTTAAGTATTAAATATTTCACAAATAAACTTGACTGATAATACTTTTTTTTTTTTTAATAGCTTATATGAAAGAACGTTTGAGTTATGATGAAATTCTTTATCTAT